CAGTCCTGAAGGGACAGGAACCAGCCCCGAGTTCCTCGGCGGCAGCGCCCCGCTGACAGACGACTGGATTCCACTTTTCTCCGCGCAAACTGCAGCCGCCGCCGGGCGCAGCCAGGTCCCGCTCGGGAGGCCGCGCGGAGGAGCACGGGAGAAGCGGTCCCCCCGCCTCGCCCCCCGGAGCCGAGCGGCTAGAACTACAACTCCCAGGAGGCTGCGCGCGGGGGGACTTCCCCGGGCGGGCTATTGCCCCGCGGGCGCCTGGCGCCCCGCCCCGTCCCACCTGGTGCGGGTCTAACCCCGACCCCGCGGCCACTGCACCGGGAGCGCATCCGCTCGTTTGCCGGGCCGAATAGCGTAGGAAACGCGAGGACAGCGAAAGAACTGGGTGTGCGGGGCGGTATTTGGGGTCCAGCCCTTGTAATTTCACTGAAGTCCTGGAAGTAGGGTTGCTGAAGCTAAGAGCCGAGACGCTTACTCAGTTATTACTATTTGCAAAGGGCGGCACTAGGCCCTTTATATTTCATCTTCATTTACTACCCGCCCCCTACCCTCTGTGTCTAAAGAGGCTTAAATCGTCGAAAACACGCAGAACTTTGAGCTCACTGATGTGTTTACTTGCATCCTGAATATTTTCTCGTGGAAAACTCCAGGCGTTGTCTGCAGGTGTCCCCGTGCCTAAGCACCGTAAGTTACAAAGAAGTGGTCAACCTTAAGCACCTGCTGGCCTGGTTCTCTTGAGTATACAGCCACCCGGGCTGTGTCCCAGACCCTGGCAGCAGGACGCAGTCGGACCACCGGTGTCTGTCTGAAGGCCTTCGGCCCCGTGGAGAGCAGAGGCATTTGTGAGGAGAGTCTGAACATATAGCATCTAACCAGTTCTTTCGTCATTCTGAATTCTATCCTTGGATCAAACTGGGCCATATGTGAAGGTAACATGCTTACGAGGTATGGCTCCTGAGTGAGTTTAAACTTGTTCACCAAGCTAGAAGTTTCTGCATCTCCTACTGTGAGGGAAGGGTCATTTTGGGACACTGCACATTGTCACAGTGTTTCCCCTGGCCTAGCCCGTGGACTCACCTGTCAGAGTCTTATTGTTGTCCTGTTGTGATTAGAAACTGAAAGCTGTTGTTCTATAGCCCACCTAAGGCATCAGGAACACCAGACAGCAGGGCTTTGGAACCTGTGTCATGAAATGTAACCCCCTTTTGTTACATTTGGGTTGGAGAGAACTGTTCTCAACACTTCAATGAAAAGGTGGTAACCGCTTTATAGTGCAGGGGGGCCCTGGTATTTGAGCAGCTTCAGCATCTCTGAGGATTTTAGCACATCAGAGCCCCTTCAAGGCAATGGAACATTGGCATCTGGGTGCCAGTACCTTCTGCCTAATGGACAGGCCACCCTCCTCCACACCTGCATTCTGGCAGCCTGGGCCAGACTTGTCAGGCATGGTGAACAGCACCTTTGACCTCTATGAGCAATAGCAGTGGTTCATCCTACTGGGGCAGGTGCACATGCGTGGTTGGGGTGTGGGGGTGTGTGGCGGTGCTGGGGATGTCTCAGCAGGTCTCTGCGGTAAGCCAGAGCTGGTTTGGTTGGAAAATGAGAGATTCCTTTTGTTAATTGAAAGCATTGTTTATCAGCACATGTGAGACTAGCCTGGGGAGTCCTACAAATATTTGATGTGTGAAGTATGGTAGTGCTGGCAGTGGTAGTAACTAATCTGAAGTTTAAAAGAGAGGGTAGAAATTTTGAAATTATGCTTTGGCAACAGCTCCAGAGTTGGGGGATGGGGAGAACGAAACACTTATTGTGACCCTGGTTTTACCACCAGGTGGTGCTGGCTTGGGAAATAAGCCCTCTGCCCACCAAATTGTCTTTTTTTTTTTTTTCTTTTTGGTTAATTTGAGCAGATTTTAATAAAATCTACAGTTTTTATTATGTCCAAATTGTCTTTTAATATTATGCCAAAACTAGGTTTTATTCATAAGATTAGATAAGAAACAACCACATTCACTGTTTTATCTCCAGTAGTGAGCACAGTGCCAGGTTCATAGTAAGTAGTCCATACATACTTGCTGAATGAACATATAGGATATATTATTGAAATGTTGTTGAGGATATTGTCCATTACATCACTTATTGCTCCCAATATAAATCTCCTCCTGAGAAATTTGTTTTAGACTAAAGTGTTAGCATTAGAACAAGCATTAAAACATATAGCCCTGGCAGGTGTGGTTCAGTGGTTAGAGTGTTGCTTCCCAGTTAAGGGCACATATCTGGGTTGTATCTTCAATCCCCAGCCCTGTTCTGACTGAGTGTGGGAGGCAACCAATCGATGTGTTTCTCTCACATTGATGTTTCTCCCTCTCTCTTTCCCTCTCCCCCTCCCTCCCTCCTGTCCACTCTCTCTAAAAATCAATGGAAAAAATACCTTCAGCTGAGAATTAACAATAACAACAACAAGTATGAAGATGACTTTCCTTTTTGCCTTGGTTGACTGCCAGCTTGGAGCCTAATTTTAAACTTAACTACAGCAAGTATTTAAATTGGAATGGCCAGTGTAACTGTGACCTTTTCCTCTGGGATATCACCCTGGATTGGAAGGGAGCAAAACTGGAGAAAAGTCCGTCAGGAGGCTGCTGCAGCATTCCCAGTGTGAGACCTTCAGGAGGCAGAATTAACAGTGGAGACTGAGAGGGAGGACAGGGTCAAGGATGACTCCTCAGCTCCTGCCTGGGCCACTGGCAGAGGATGCCATTCACGTGGAAGAAGGTTGAGCAGAAGTTAGCAAGTTAACTTTGGATTTGTACATTATAAGGTACCTGTGAGGCATCTGAGTAGAAATACCCCCTCGACAATTGATTATGTGGGTCTGGAGCTCAGAAAAAGTCATGGGACTCCTCTGCCCATAGTTGTTATTTGAAACAATGGGAGTGGATAAGATTCACAGGATGAGTGGGTAGAAAAAAAGAGGGGGGCTAGAACAAGACTCTGAGGAACCCCATCATTTAAGGGAAAGGCAGAGAAAAAGAAACCTGAGAAGTGGCAGAGAGATAGAAAGAAAAGACAGGCATCAAAAGCTAAGAGAAGAAAGATTCTAAGGAGAAGAGAATGGATAACTGTATCAAAGGAACTGAGGGTCAAGTAATGTACGGACCAAGTGTCCATTGGATTTGACAACAAAGTAATCTTTGGTCAGTAGTGAGAGCAGTTTCAGTGAAATAGTGGGGTGGAAATTAAATAGACGGTGAGTGGGAGTAAGTGTAGACATCGTCAAGAAGTTTAGCCGACAAAAGGAGATGAACAAGTACAGTAGCTGACGGTGTTTGGTTCCTGAAGTTAAGGTTAGCCTCAGAAGGAGAAAGTACATATTTTCCATGCTGACAGGAAGGAAAGAAGATAGAATAGTCATGAGTGGAGTTATATTTATAGTGAGGAAATTGGAGGATTTTTTTTTCTTTAATGGTTTCTGCAAAATTGGTGTGGGGGTGCAGGGCTTGGTGTTTTTGAAGATTTGAGGAACATGGGGAAGTGAAAGAACCACAGAGTACTTGAGAGAGGGTAATGAGTAGGTAAATACTTTCTCCAGCTTCATAGAACATCAGAGTCACTTGGAATGTTTGGTAGCATGTAGGTTCCAGAGCACCAATATGTCTTACTATATCTGGGTAGAGCCCAGGACTCTGCATTTTAAACAGGCACCCAAGGTGATTCTGATATAGGGGCTCTTCAGATCACACTTTGGGAATACTGAAAGAAAGTCAAGGAAGGAATTATTTTAGTATAGGAGAATATTTTACAAAATAGGAGAAAACCGCCAGTAGAGAGGAAACAACTAAGACAAAAAGGAATAATTGATAGGGCAGAATCCCTAAGGAGGTGGGAGAAAGTATAATAAAGAAGAAAGGAGGAAGGATAAGCCTTGGACAGGAGAAGTGTGACCTCTTCAATTAAGAGCACCCTTAGACAGAAGGGTTATGTCTTTCATTAAGGGTCACCTCTAGGTAAAGCTATTACACTGAGGCAGGTAACATTGGCAGTTTCACCTTCAACAAATTATTTTCCCCAGTAAGTTTGGAAAAGAAAAAAGAAATCAATAATAATTATTTTTATTTAATGTTGAGTGCTTACCTGGCATTGTGCTAAACCTTTTACATGCAATGTGGCATTTAATCCTCCCAGTAACTCAAATGATAGATCCTATAACCATTTCATAGAGAAAGAAACAGGTTAGAGAACACAGAAGCAACTTGCCCAGAGATGCACAGATCCTAAGTGGCAGAGCCTGGGTAGTCTATCTAACATCTGAGCCTACCATATGAGCCACAGATATTATACTGCTAAACTTCTATGAGGCAGGGAATAGAAATTTATATGATATTTAGTATGTATAATATCCATCTAATGTGAAATTGAGACTTTTTTTCCTTCATGACTTCTCACCAATAAGTCTTTTTTCCTACCTCTGCCCTGATTGATAGATTCCTGGGTTTTCTCCTTCAATATCATTTAGAATTCTTTCAGTTACAAGGGGCAGAAAACTTAGTTTAACAGGAAAAAAGAAGAAAAAAATCTGTTAGCCCACATTGTTGAAAACTTAAGAACTACAGTCAAGGTGGCGGCTCCTGTTTTGTGGCCAAAGCATAGGAAAGCGAGGGCCAAAGAAAGCATGTGCTTGGCTTCAACATGTAGGTGAAAATATATCTAAGAGGATCCAGGAAGGTGGTGGAGTAAGTGGCTGTTACACTAACCTCCTCCCAGGACCAAACTGGAATTACAACTAAGATATAGAGCAATCAACCTGAATAACCAACTGAAGACTAACTGAACAGAAGTCTTATAACCAAGGATTTACAGAAGAAGCCACATTGAGACTGGTAGGAAGGGTGGAGACACAAAAGGGGCTAGCCTCACTCCCACAGGTGGCAGCTGAGATTCCAAAGGGACATCTCAACTGCAAAGGTGCCCCCTGAGAAGTGTCATGTTTCAGTCCTACACTGGGCTCCCCAACACAGAGCACCAGAGCCAGGAAGAGGCACCCACATAACATCTGGCTGTGAAAATCAGAGGGGATTCTGTCTGTCAGAGAGTATGCTCGAGACACAAGTGCCATCTTAAAGGGCCAATGCACAAAATCTCATCTGCAGCCACTCAACCTGGACTCCAGCAGAGTAGACTAGAGTTGTATGAGGACAGACTGGGGTTTGTGGCTCTGAGGAGAGAGCTGAAGGGACAGTTGTCAGGATCCCTGTGCTGAGTGTCACTCTCCCGTACTGCAGATGCCATCTTTCTTGGGTGGAGTACTCACCTCCTTATGTCATCAGCCCTAGGAAAATGCGATAGCCCCACCCTCTGGACTCCCTGTCACCTCACCCTGAGGAGCTACCACCTTGCTGAGGAATCAGCTGCCTGGGCTAGGGTGTAGAGGTCCAGGCAGGCTCAGGGAGTATCAGTGACTGAGTTGTGTAGCTTTGGCATGGGGTTATTCCCCTCACTTTCCCATGAACCTGATGGATGCCCCCCTTTCATGGGAGATCTGCTAGCCCCACCTTCCAGGTTCCTGGTAGCCCCATCCTCCCAACTCCTGATGATTCTGCCCTGCCCAGGTCTGGGCAGAAACCAGGACAGACTTAGTTGTGTGGCTCTGGGGTTGGGGCCCTTCCCCACCTCACCTTCCCCCAAGCTTCACCTGTGCCTTCCCCTTAGGGGTGATCCACTAACTCTACCCTCCCAAATTCCAGTGACCCTGCCCTGCTGAGCTCATGCTCCCAGCAGAATGTGAGACAGGCTGAGTGGTGTGGCTCAAGGATAGGGGTCATTTCCCCTCTCATGCCGACCAGAGTCCTACCTTCACACTGCCAAATCTTTCTCTGTATGGGACTGTTAAACTCTGATGGCCTCATCTGATGACTTCCTGAGACTGTCCCACCAAAAGGTGTGTGAGCACCCAGTGAATGGCAGGTAGACTTGGTAAACCCTGGGCATTTGCTGAGTGGCCTCAGGCACCAAGTTTGAACCTGTATTGATCTGGTGAACATCACTTGCCTGTACCTGGTGACTCACTGAGAACCTACTTCATGCAACTCAAGTACCTCCAGAGGCTCTTTCAGTGACACAGCCTAACAGGCAGCTGGCAGCTGGAGGCAGGCATATGTGGATCTTGAGGTGCCTTGGGACTTTTGCTGACCAGCCCCTTGGCAGAGTGCTCATAAAAACCAGCCATGGTGGACATTTTGTCCTTCCCTCATACACACCCAGTCTCAGCAGAGGCAGCCACAAAAAGTGGATCACTTTGCCTGGCTGGCATGGCTCAGCAGTTGAACACTGACCTATGATCCTGAAGATTGTGGTTCAATTCCTGGTCGGGGCACGTGCCTGGGTTGCGGGCTCAATCCCCAGTAAGGAGCAAGCAGGAGGCAGCTGATCAATGACTCTCTCTCATCATTAATGTTTCTATCTCTCTCTCTCCCTCTCCCTTTCTCTCTCTGAAATCAATAAAAAAATTTTTTTTAAATTTGACTTATAATTTTTTTTTTAAAAAAGTGTCTTTTTGTAGCTCCAAACAGGTTACCCAGAGCCAGTCACAGGCAGTGTCTGACATTGGCCTACATTAGAGTCCTTCCAAAGAGGCCACAAAACCAACACACCCATTGGCAAGCTTCAGATAATATCAGAGCAGGATCCATTTAGCTTCACAAGTGGCATATCCAAAAGGAGATCTTGGCAGGGACCAGACTCTGCTGAGGCGAATTCCTCTTTGTATGGTAAACACCTGCACAGCAGTTTGCACACTGTGTCAGGGTTGATCCTCACAGTCAAGGAGCCTGGGGGTTAACCCCATACACAAACTTCCCAATAGCAATCAAGACTCAATTACAGCAGGACAGCCCACATAACCCACACAAGGAACATTCCTGGAGCACCAAGCTCAGGTGATCAAGGAGACTACACCACTGGGTCCCACAGGACACTTACTTCATAAGGCCACCCTACCAAGACTGGAAATCATAGAAGATCTACATAATACCTAGAAAGAAACAAAAAGAGGCAACCAAAATGGGGAGACAAAAAAAATGCTCCAAATGAAAGAACAGGAGAAATCTCCAAAAAAGAGATAAATGAAACTGAGGCAAGGAAATTATCAGGTATCAAGTTTTTAAAAATGGTTATATGGATGCCAACAGCATGAAAAAGGACATAGAAACCATAAAAAAGAACCAGTCAGAAATGAAGAACACAATATCTGAAATGAAGAATACACTAGAAGGAATAAACAGTATGTTGGATGAAGCAGAGGACTGAATCAGCGACTTGAGAGATAAGGTTAAAAAAACGACACCCAATCAGAGCAACAAATAGAAAAGACTTTTAAAAAATGAGGGTGGTTTAAGGGGCCTTTGGGACTACATGAAGTATAACAACATTCGCATCATAGGAGTACCAGAAGAAGAGAGAGAGCAAGGGATCAAGAATCTATTTGAAGAATAATGACTGAAAACTTCCCCAACCTGTTGAAGAAAAAATGACACACAAGTCCAGGAAGCACAGAGAGTCCCAAACAAGATGAACCCAGAGGCCCACACCAAGACACATCATAATTAAAATGGTAAAGTTTAAAGATAAAGAGAGAATCTTAAAAGCAGCAAAAGAAATACAATTATCTACAAGGAAGCTCCCATAAGACTGTCAGCTGATTTCTCAACAGAAACATTTTAGTCCAGCAGGGATGGGCATGAACTATTCAAAGTGATGAAAAACAAGGATCTACAACCAAGACTAATTTACACAGCAAGGAAAGCATTTAAAATTGAAGGAGAAATAAAAAGTTTCCCAGACAAGAAAAAGCTAAAGGAGTTTGTTACCACCAAACAAATATTACAAGAAATGTTAAAGGGACTTGTTTAAGAAGAAGATGGAGAAGAATAAAGAGAAAGAGATAGAAATAGAGATAGATAGAGATAGAGATAGAGATAGAGATAGAGATAGAGATAGAGATAGAGAGAGAGAGAGAGAGAGAGAGAGAGA